GGGGGGGGGGGGGGGGGGGGGGTGTTATGTGCAGATGTATTGCAGCAGTTGCTGCCATTTAGAAATGAAGATCAGGACCTCCAATATCCTCCCTTCGAATGTCTATTCAGCAACTTGAGGATACAGTTTATAAAAGTGATCTCCAAACAAGAACAGCTGGTTATTGCTTTAAATGTAGGATTGCTTTATCTCCAAATGGCCTTGAATGTGGGTCAAGCTAACATTCTGAGGAAGAAAGCAAAAATATCTCTGTGCACTTTTATCTTAAATACCATTGGAAAGTCCCTGACTGCTAACCACCAAGCAGTCTTTTTTTTTTTTTTTAAATAGAATGGCTGTTAAATATTTAAATAGTCACTGCAATATGATATTCTTCCAACTTATCACATTTATGTAAATAGCATCACTGGAAAAAAAAATTTTTAAATCAAAAGACTATCTTATTCCATTTTGGCATCAAAACATTTAACTGCATTTTTTTAATGCTATGCATAAGGAAATGGTTTACCTTCCAGCATTTTCTGCAGACTGTTCCTCATGACATGGATGTTCTCTATCCCGATAAACTGAAACTTGATATTGGAATAATTGTCTTCATTCTCATAGCCTTTCCCTGCAGCACGATTTGCCATTGCATTAAGCTGCAGTGGTCAGCAAAACAGAACAGTCATCAATTACATTCAGGACATGAAACAACAAAAACATTTCATGGATACCCATAAAAACATTCAAAATGATGTACAGAAACACAGTATGCTTTAAATCACTGGAATATTGTACTGAATTACATAGTTACAGGCACTCATGCTGAGCTTACATTCAATAGCAGGAATTTGTTGGTGTGGGTAACATTTTCTTATCTGGGAAGCATTCTATAGATAGACTTTTCTGGAGATGCCTCTTGCAGTTCCCTGTCAGATATGCCAAATTGCAGCGGGAATTCTGTGATAGAGCCAAGTTGCCCCGATTCAATACCACATATTACAACCTACAGGTTGGCAGAAGAACATCAGCAGACACAGCTTGTCAATATCAGGCTTTGTGGGTTAAATCACTACATCTTCCAGTTTGACACTGCCGATAAACATGTCTAATTTGCCTACAAGGAGCTCCAGATACCCAATTAAACCTTGAGCAGGAAATCAATGAATAAAATGAAGAGAGGAAATGTAGATGCCAAGTCTCCAGAGACATTTCCTCCAGCTAACTTATTTAAATCTACAGACCTATTAAGTGGGCTTTGTGATCACTTTCATTTCCATAATTTTGCATATGAGAAGGTGGAGTCTCCCAGTGCAAATGGGATTAAGTAATAATGGACTTTGAAGAAATTTATTAGACCCAAGCTCTGCACTAGCCCTATGTGGCAAAAATCAAGAAGGGGGCAAGTCCTGCCTTAGCTGGGAAATACACAGATTTCTAGAATGGATACATTGCTGCTAATATTCCATTACTGCTGTTTGACTAAGCAGGTCATCACATCCTGGAAAACAGTACTCACTGACAATTCTCTTCCTCTGCCCACAAAGGGCAGGAAAGCTATTACAGGCAGAGAAGCTATACCAAGAATTAACTATCAGAAAAAAAAGGAAAAAAAAAAAAAATACACACACACACACATCTACTTTTAAGAGCACAATGCAAAGCAATACTTTTCAAAAAGTTAAGTTAAAAGAGCTAGGTTGAATTAAAAACACATATATTCTTTAACCCAGATGTCCTACTTCTGAGAATCTGACAAGATTAAAAGTACCAGCACATAAAGACAGATTGGTTGTAATACATTTTTATAATAGTAAAAAACTGAAAACCCATGAATATCTAAATAGGGCAATGACTGGATAAATTATGGTTTATTCATGCCCTGAAATACCATCAGACACCAAGAAGAAAGACATAAACCATATAAATAGAGGGATTTGGAACTGGCTCATGACATGTTAAGTGAAAAACAGCAAGCTACGGAGTAATATTCATACAATCATCCATGTTTTATAAAACAAGTCAACTTACAGATATGTTTTGATGTTTATGCATATGTATCAAACAGAATAAAAATGTATGGAAGAATATATCAATTTGGTAGCAGTTACAAGCAGAAAGAGAGGTGGCAAGTAACAGGACAATACCATCAGTACTATTTTAGATACTCCTGTATTCTTTAATCATTACAAAAACATATATTAAGTTTATAACTTTAGTAATAAAAACAATGTATTTGATGTAAAAAATAAAGCAATGAAGGGCAAGCCATTGGTATAAGGGGCTCAGACTGGCAGATACCTCTCATTTCAAGAGCAGCCCTGCTGCATGATTTAGCTCAAGTGACATCAGCTGGGGCAGTTTAGCCCCTCAGGATTCTGTTCCCAGTCTACAAAAGGGTGTCACCTTTCTTCCTGGCATAATATGAGAATAAATGGTTTAGCCTTAATTAAGAAAAATATTGAAATACTATATCTTTAAGACAACTTGTGTTCATGCTTTTAAAAGTTTAAATATTTTAAGGGGAAAATTAGACATTGTCCTTCTTAAACTATTATAAAATATTGCTGCTTTGTATAATAATTTTTTAAAAGCCGTTGGCTTATCCTTTACAACAAGCTTTATAAAACAACAAATTAATCGGATACTTGACGTATCCTTATGTTACATTAACCTTATGTTCATTCTGTATCTTGAATAATTCAAGTTAAGCCTACTCACCACATACCACAGATATTCTTTTTAAAACAGTGTAATAAATAAAAAAAACTATTATTATTCTTACATTATCTATAATTAAGATTATATGTTCACATTTTTTTTTTTTTTTTAAAAGATGACCGGTAAGGGGATCTTAACCCTTGACTTGGTGTTGTCAGCACCACGCTCAGCCAGTGAGCGAACCGGCCATCCCTATGTGGGATCCGAACCCAGGGCCTTGGTGTTATCAACACCGCACTCTCCCGAGTGAGCCACGGGCCGGCCCATGTTCACATTTTTAAATAGTTGATTATGATCTAGGAGAATTTATTGGTAGTCTTCATTAAAAGCAAAGGAGCAACACAAGATAACCTCCTAAAAGTCAATGTGTACTTCACATAATGAACAGAAGGTGGCAATATTTAATCTACCATCCAAAGTATAATTTCACAGGATTTCCACGAATTTTACAGGGCTTAGTGTGATAATGTGGCAAAGGTTGAAAACTTGAAACAGGAAATACAATTTTACAATTAATAAAAATTCAAAAAGTTATACTGGACTTATTATACATATTAAGATATATATCCCTTACCTAAAAAAATCACTATTAGTAAGTCTAATTTGGTCCCCCATCCCTTTGGCTGGGAACTCCATTTCACAGCCAAAGAAAAAGCTATTCATTTTAGCTCCTAAAAATCCTCAAGTAGATAAAGCAATAGCGGTAACTGCATTCCAGTGTCAATGTATGTTTACAAAACACAACAGACACATGAGAAGTAGGACTGAAAAAAGTACCCAAAACACAAAACCACTTTGCTGTTTGTTAATATCAGCCTCTTTCAGTGCAGAGAAACTCATAAATGAAACAAAAGGAACTCAGTCATTTCCCAATAAACACTTAATGAACACCTACTGTATGCCAGGCATTGGATGTAATAAAAAGATGAATGAGAAGCTGTTCTTACTGTCATAAGCTCATAATTGAGTACAGAAAGGAAAGCACATAACGTCAAATGCTAACGGATAATACCCACCAGGACTAGGGAGGGGCAGAGTGAACAGTAAAGACAGTGATCATGGCAGGAGCTGGAATCTACAGCAACCTCATCTGGGCTAGGAGGTTGGGGTAACATTCTGTGAAAAAGTGAAAACTTCAGCTGGATGTTAATTGCAGGGGGTTAAAAATCTTGATTCTTGTTTGATTTTTAGACAGGGCTCTTTAGATAAAAAACTTATGGGACAAAAGCCCACAGGTAGCGGGGCAAAAAGCCTATCTAATCAATTCTAATCAAGTATATGTTGATTTTCAGTTGATTTTTAGTATAGGGTTTTTAGGTGATGCATGTATGGGAAAAAAGTCCTCGGCTAGGGAGCAAAAGCCCACAGTCAGCGGGCAACGGCCCATCTAATGTTTAGGGATGGGATTATGTACTTTGATTATTTAACATACCGATTGTTGTTAAAAAGATGTTGAAGGAATTGCTGTAGGGAAAAATGTGAAAAAATGTTTGCTAAGGGCAAGCTGTTTGTTCGAAACTTTAAAGACAATTTACTTAGATTTAATCATAAGAATGTAACTTTTGCTTAAATCATTTAAGGAGAGGATATATTTTGGATTGGATAATGATCACAGTCTGATCAACTTAGCTTTTCACAAATTGTACTTTGGAATGTCACGTTGTTAATTTAAATGATGTTACTAGTTTCTATTGTTTAAGCTATACTTATGTCACGTTGTTAATTTAAATGATGTTACTAGTTTCTATTGTTTAAGCTATACTTAGCCAAAGATAACTTTTGTCCAGGTCTTTGTGTCCTTTTGAAATGATTGAATCAACGGATTCTCCTCTTTATCCTAGGCTCTATGTGCACGAGGGGGTGGGGAAGGAATGGAGGTGGAATAAGAGGAGGTAAATACCTTTGCAAAGCTAGGCAAGGCTGCAATTCTCTCTTTATTGGTTATCACTGCTCTTCTGGTTAATACTAATTGGCTATCACTGCCCTCTATGGCATAAGCCTCCTAAGGCATATACATTGGTTCCTGGAGATAGGGAGTACACATTTCTCTGACATGGGAGATCCACCTGGGCTTGAGCCTGTTCTAGTTCCCTCAGCTTCCCTCACCAGCATAACACACAGTCACTTGCAGTTAGGAAGCCTCGCAAGGGCAAGCCTTCTTAGGAAGGTTCTAGCAAGATGACTTATGGCTAGCTTCCTTCCTCCGTTTCCACAGTCCCGCAGGAAATTTCTCCATCCTTGCCCTGCCAGAGAGGGGGAGTGAGACTGCTCCCCTGCTGCTGGGTACTGTGATCTCTCCCATTCTCTTTCCTCTGCCTTTGCCATGGTGGTCACCAGCAAGTATGAACATCTATCTGACTAGGGAATGAGATCCTAGGTTCCCCTCCTTCGGACTCCCCTAACATTTACAAGTGATTTTCCTACATGTCCCCATCACAGGATTCAGTGAGTAGAAAGCACCTAATCACCTATTCCAGAGAAACATAAAAACATCCCACGTGACAACCTGTTACACAGCTAAAGTCACGGATGTGGTGAAATCGGAAGCCATAGCCATAAGTCGTCTTTGGAGAAGGAGCAAGCACAAAAGGCTGAGAGTCGGCAGAGGCAGAAGCCCGTCTTCACCTCACCCCTTCTCTTCCTGGCTCAACACATCCTCCAGAGCTGCTGGCATTCAGAGCTCTCTTGCCCCAGCCTGACTTTGGATGAGCTCGTGGTTGGTGCCTCAGCTGAGTCTCCTACTTCACTGGGTGGGGCTCAGAGGTGGCCACCATCCTGAGCCTCAAAGTGGAGACAAGTCTCCACTGGATATATTTGTAGACAGAAAAAACATCATGGTCGAATGGAAGAATGGGCCTTGGAGTCAGACAAGCCTGGATTTGAATCCGAACTCTGCCCTAAACTGTGTGACCTTGGCAAATTACTTAACCTCTTTAAATCTAAGCCCTTATCCATGAAAAGAAAAAAGCATCTTCTAATTTGCAGGATTCTTATAAGAATTAAATGAGTAAGGGCCTGGCATTTTTATAAGCTCAGCAAAATCCCAGAACAAATTAATGATTAAGTTATGAACAAGGTTGAGATAAAACTACAGTTCAACAAATATTGCATCAACATTTTTTTCATATTTTCTTAATATACCAAACCCTAGCAGTAATATATGACCTCAAGGGCATACTTTTTTAAAATGGATATTCAATACATGCTTGCACATCTCACTGCCTTTGCCTCCCAACATTTTAATGTCAACAAGTAACTGAGAAGGCTTTCGTCAGCACAGGCGGCTCTGTAAGCTCTCGTGTGAGGCTAGCCTTGCTCAAAGGGCAAGAATGACCTGGGCTGCCTCCAAATCCTTTTTCTGTTTAATTAAACCCATGAGCAAACCTGGGAAGGGCCCGTCTGCCACTGCCCATACCTTCTACGACAAACATCGATCCAGTCTCCTGGCTACCAAGGAAGCCTAACACACTCTGGAACAAAAATCAACAGATGTGATCTTTAAAAGAATGAAAGCTATAAGCAAACAGTTTAAAACTCATGTGGAGTGCATGTGCATGGAAAAATATGAGAAGCAGGCAGGTCTTACATGAGACACCAATTTTCTTTAATGGATCAGTGTCAAACTTCTTATCGCTGAGAGTAAACCCACTCAGTGCTAAATATATTCTTCAAATCAAATCCCTTGGATAAATTTATTTAAATCTGGAATATGCCTGGCTCTACAGCTGTCACATTTCCTAGAAGGTTTACATAACATGGTACAAACTTGGATCACTGGCCCTTAAATTAGTGGGTGAATGTTTGCCTTTATTTAGATCTGAAAAAACAGGATAGGAAAAGGTCCTCCCTCCCTCTACTCAGAAAAGCCCATCTTTTCTTTCTTTACTTTTTTTATCTTCCCTTAGTGTATCAGTGTAAGAAACAGGCATTCATTGAATCATCTACAACTATTAAGAAATTCAAAACAGCTCCACCTTACCTACACAGGAGGGAAGGCAGTCAACATTAGAAGGAAGGGGTTAAAGCATAATGAGCCAGACAGAAAAGAACAAGTTGAAAATGAACAGTAAAAATCAGAGATTTTCTGGCATTTTTCAAGTGGAAATCTTCAAGCAGAGAAACTAGTTTTTCCCCCAGTTTGAAGCTTTTAACTATATATGTTGTGCTTTCAGAAGTTACTTAGAAAGGAAAAGACTCTTTACCTACTAGACTGTAAATGTGATCTAGCTATAATATCTGTTCTGTCATTGATTTCCATACTGATTTGCAGACCTGGCATCCAACAGTAACTCCATTCTCACTACTCCACATACATCTATCCCACAATACATTTCAAACAGAAGTAGATGCAACTGTTCTGAGGTCAAGGGTGTGCGTAGCACACTGACCTCCCACTAGGAAAATATCACTTAAGTGATCCAGGGCTTGAATCACAATATTTGGTGAAATGAGACTCAGAGAAGCAGTGAAAATTACCAGGGTCTGGAACCTACACAAAGGATCGTATCCAGTTCTCACTATTTCTCATATGGCCCACGAATATAGACTATAATTACCTATTCGTAACGGTGTATACTTTTAAGTGACTTGTACTGTTGGTCTTATTTCCTCTTTCCTGTTGTAACGTTTTTTATTTCATGTTCTTTTTTTTTAATAGCTTCATTAACATAGAATTCACGTCATACAACTCACCCACATAAAGTGTACAATTCAGTGGCGTTTGGTATATTCACACAGTTGTGCAATCAATACCACAATCTAATTTTAGAACATTTCCATCACCCCAAAGAGAAATCCTCTACCCGTTAGCAGTCACATCCCACACTTCTTCTCACGTCCCCCAGCCCTAGGCAACAATCCACTTTCTGTCACTATGAATTTGCCTACTGTGGACATCTCACGTAAATGAAATCATACCAATATGAATTCCTTAGTGACAGATGTCTTTCACTTAGAATAGCATTTTCCAGGTTTGTCCATGTTACAGTGTATCAATACTTTATTCCTTTTTATAGCTAAATAAGATTCCATTGAATGAATATACCACTTTTTATAAATCCATTCTCAGTTGATGAACATTTGGTTACTTCTACTTTTGGCTATTATTAATAATAAGTATTTATGTACAAGTTTTTATGCAGACATTACGTTTTCATTTCTCTGGTGTATATATAGCTAGGAATGGAATTGGTGGGTCATATGGTAACTCTATGTTTAACACTTAGATTCTTATGCTCTTTTAACCTTTTTATGATAAAAAAAAAATGCAAACTGTAATTTAGAAATTAAAAAGTTTCCTAAAATCTACCTCTTACCCCACAGAAAAAAAAAACACTGTCAACAGTTTGGTATAATATATTCCCCCAATTTTTTTCAATGGGATTACATTATACACAGTTTCTGCATCCCACTCTTGTTGCTTAATATACATTTTGGACTCCTTTCCATACCACTATGGAGAGACAGAGCTGCATAAACATCTTTCTCATCAGTCATAGGTCCGTATGACTTTCTATGACATAGAAAGTTCTCTATCTCCCCAAATCCTACTCCCTCCTCCATGGAATTTGAAGAGTTTAGTGTTTATCCCTTCAGATTTTTTATCTATACATCTTTATATACCTAGTTTTATTTACATAATTATATTATTTTGTGATTTTTTTTTTTTTTTGTCTTTTGTCTTTTTCCATGTCCGGCAACGGATCGCAACCCTCAGTGTTGCCCCCGTACTGGACCGGGGACCGGAAACGGGACTGCAACCCTCGGCGTCGCTCCTGCGCCTCGCTCAGCCAGTGAGCGGGAACCGGTCTGTATGTGGGATCCAAACCCTCGGGCGGGAGCGCCGCCGCGCTTCCCAAGCGGCGCACTTATCCAGTGCGCCACCAGGCCGGCCCCGTGATTTTTTAATTTAACATTATATTTTATAAATCTTTCCAAGCCATAGGTACAGATCACTACAAGCTGAATCTGAAAAAGTATGGCTGAATACCACACAAAAATTGAACTGCTGGAGCTCCACAGCCAATTTCATACTGTCAGAGTAGAAAGGCTTGTTTTAGAAACAAACCAAATAATATGGTGTATTGAGGACACCAATCTCCAAAATTAAACCACACTCCCTTTTTGTGTGCCACCCTGTGCCCAGCACAATGCAAGCATCAGGGGAAATATAAAACGCACCTGAGCTCCAGAAAGCAGCCCAAAGGGGCCCAAATACTGACTATACCAAGAGGAACTGCCACTTGGCAGCTACAGCAATCTGAGCAAGTGGCAGCAGTCTGTTAAGCTTTGCCTTGTCTCCAGCTTCGAGACACAGAGCTAAAAGACATGCATTGGAATGGCGACACTTACTTTAGGCCGAGTGTCAACGACATAAATGAAGTCGCTTCCTGGATTGGCTTTCCTGATGGCCTGGAGCATCTGCTCGTCCTCCAGGCACCGAGCACTGAAACCGGACAGGGGCTGGCTGCTCCGGCAGATGGAGGCCTGGGGGGAGAGGTCACAGCAACACAGCACCATCAGGCAACCGTACCCACCACAGACACTCTTGGTATTTCTCCTGAACAAAGAGCCCCCTGGTTCACTTAAGTCCCACATTGGCTTACAAAAATATGATAAAATATGATTCTGGAAATCAACATTTGTTTACTTTTAATTCAGGTCAAAGTGTGGAGGATACCAACATTAATTAAGCAAATGTATTTCACAGGGCCTAACTTATAGTTTAGCAGGGCCACAGCCCTATGGTTTAAGGTATAGACTAACCTTTCAGTACTGCACATAGAAATGCAAAGCTTGGGAAAAGCAGAAAACTTTCCCAGGACTAAAGTCTCTTTTGTAGATAAAAAATTGTAACACAGCAAAAATGCTTGCTCTAAGGACAGTTGTCCTTGTTGTGGCTAAACCTAATGATTGTTGCCATGACAACTATCTCATTGTTCTTTTTGTAACTACCTATGTTCCTTTTCTGTAACTTTCTTGCCTGGAGAATAAAAATGGAGAGAAAACCTCATTCGGGGTTATTTTTCTGAGGAATCCTTCTCTCTTGAAGGATTTGCCTGGAATTAAACCTTTCGGGCCTCTCACTGCTCAGAAGAATGGGCTTTTAGTAATCCTTTGCATCTCCGTCACCCTGGGAGAGGTGACACAAAGAAACCATCACATAGGAAGCAGTCAAAAAGTCTCTCTGTGTAAGATATCAGGAATGTGTAAGGATGTTTAGATGGGATCCAAATTATAAAATATAAAGCCATTTAAATAACCTACTTTCCTTTTCACTGGATATTGTTTCATTTTCTTGCTGTAAACAGTAATACAAAATAAACATTTTCCTGAAACTTATGGGATACCACTAATGGCAAGGCTAGTAAAAGATATTTTTTTAAAAGCTTTCCACCATCTTTTTACTAGCCTATTTAAAAATATCACAAAGACCAAAAACCAATTCTAATTCTAAACTAGAAATTTTCACTGTGATGAAAGCCCTAGGTTTGATACCTAAAGACAGCAGGCACATAGCTATGCTGACACAAGTGTGTTTAAAAACAGGGGTTCTTTGTTATCGATCTGCATTCTATCCTGTAATTTCCCTACCCTGTAATTCTAACCAAGCATATTGCATTGTTAGGCAATATATAGAATAGTACAAACATTTCCCCAAGTTATGAACGGGTGAGTATAGGTACAACCTTGCAGCTATGAAACTCAGAAGGAGAAAGGGTGCAGAGGGTGTGAACATGAAAGAGAGGAGAGACAGCAAGTGAGGGCAGGGTCCAGAAACAAGCTGAAGTGACAGCAGGGACCAGAGGGGACTGGGGGGCACAAGGCAAGCTGCATCCTATGGAGAGAAAGCAAATCTCCACAAATGGCTTTTGTGGGGGTCCTGGCTCCTTTGATCTTTAAAGGGTCAGGGTCTGCCACGCTGCTCTGAGGGAATTCTGACTGGAGAGAGAACAACTCTGAGTTGGCTTTCTAGGATACTTTAACTAGGTTAAATAAATTATTAGTTAAGGACCGCTCCCACCAAGGAATTCATTAGATTCTATCAGAAGAGTTAGGGAAAGGAACATATTTTTAAATGGCAGAATTTGTCTGAGAATGCACACACCTAAACTCACTAAACTAGTCAAACTCCAGTTAGGAAATGAAGCAAGTTAGTAACCATGATTACTAATTACCTTCTGGTTGAGAGCAGCTAGTTTTAAATGAACGGTTAAGTCAGAACAGAGTTACACCATGAAATGTGGTCAACAAATTAAACCAGATATATGAAACAGACTACATTTTGATATTTTGTAGTTACATTTTCTTATTAACCTATAGATATACTCCAAATGGAGTTCTTCATTGACTCAGTGATTGCTAACATACAGCTTCCTATTTTGTGTACAATAGTAAGCAGTCTGAGTGCTTCTGTGCACCCTATACATACCCTAGACAGTCACATTTTTGAGAGAGTATTATCATTACCTAGCAGCACTTCTTACTGATGTCAGTGACCTGAGAGCAGAGAAAAATTCCTCAGTGATAAACTCTCAGGGGAGCCTCTCACTTACAATGCCACTAATGATTAAAATATCCAGCATTTTTGAATGCTTACTACTATTTTTGAATGCTTATGTAGTAGGCACTATTATAAGAACAGTGTATATTTTTATTTAATCTTCCTAATTATTATATACAGTAAAATCTATTATCTGCTCCGCTTTACAGACATGACCAAGGCACAGAGAGGTTAAGTAACTTGCTTAAGGTCACACAGCTAGTAATAGAGGAAGCTAGGATTTGAATCCAAACAGAATATTTCCTGATCCTGAATTCTTTTTTTTTTTTTCTTTTTGTCTTTTTCCGTGTCCGGCAACGGATCGCAACCCTCAGTGTCGCCCCCGTACCGGACCAGGACCAGCAACGGGATCACAAGCCTCGGTGTTGCTCCCGCGCCTCGCTCAGCCAGTGAGCGGGAACCGGTCTGTATGTGGGATCCAAACCCTCGGCGGGAGCGCTGCCGCACTTCCCAAGCGGCGCACTATAGCAGTGTGCCACCGGGCCGGCCCCCTGATCCTGAATTCTTAACCCAAATAATATAGCACCCCAAGGAAAAAAATAAGTCAGACAGCATGATAAAGCATTAAGATAAAGCATTTAAGAAGACCTTGCTTTTAATCCAGTTTTGCTCTCAATCAACTGTATGGTCTTGGGTAATTTATGTATCTTCTCTTTTTTCCATCTATAAAATGGGTAACAATATTAAAACTATAGGGTATGATAAGGTATATAACACCATAACACTCCTAGAACTGTGACTAACACATAGAAGGTTTCAATAAATATTAATTATAAAAAGAGAACGAGGCCTGTGGTTTTTTTATGGAAAACTGCCTTATAAGAAATCTTTCTGAGTTTTATTTTCCAGAAATTTGTACTGTAAATCTGGGAGAACATATTGCACACAATTTAAAGCAAAACTACTTTTTTCTTTTTAACCACATTATGATAACAAAGAACAAAGGATACAGATTCGAAGTGCTCTCAAATACAAACATATACTTCTGAGCACAAATGACGTGTAAACATCTTTAACTGTGATCTGCAAAGCTGTTCATAGTATAACATCCAAAGGGAGTCCAGATGGCTCTGTATAACCCATGTGTAGTGTAAAGCCTAAAATTAATATTGTGTGTTGCCTTGACATCTGGTAAAATCATGAGGGTCTCAGATGGCTTCACCACAAGTTCCCCTCCACACTCTGCTCCTACGGATAAGGTCCCCTTGTTAAATAATTCTCATCATCCAATGGACCAGGTGCAGGTCCTGTTTATCCCTGAGTAGTGGGTCTCAGCTCCCCACCAGCCCATGGATTATTCAAAACAGCCAATCACAAAAAAAAAAAAAAAAAAGAAAGAAAGGAAGAAAAAAGAAAGACAGACAAAAAAGCCAATCACATCCTCCTACAGGAACCAGGGGTGACCTCACCCTGTTGGTACTACAAAACTTGCCTCTCATAGCCCCTAGTTATCCCTCTGTTTCCCAGTGCAACCCCATGTGTTCCTTTATGGCATGTGGTGTCCTCTTCTCCTGGGCAGTGAGTATATGTGACTAATAAACTGTTGTGGATTTCATATTTCCGGTGTCTAGTGTGGTGTGTTTGGCCATCCACATAAACCTAGGGCAGGAATCCCAGCCTCACCAATGGGTGAATAGGACATAATTATAACACCACGTGTGATAACAGCTGATCCAATGGAAATCCTCGACAGTATTTCAGGTCCATAAAATGATGTGCATCTCAAGCTTTTCTTAATCTAATCACCAATTCCCACTGCCCAACATTAGCCAGGTCAACTCACCATCAAAATCATAAGTGTCCCTATGGTAATGACACACAGGGAACAGTATTTTAACTATAAAATATGATATTCTCTTTCACAGGCATAAGTTCTATTGGGGTAGGAATACATACCCTCAAGCCTAGAATGTCTAAAATCACCAAAGGGAAGAAAGAAAGACCGGCAAATATTATGGAATTTGTACCTGTTTACTTTTATGAAAGATTTCCTGTTTTATGTATGGATTGTGATCAGCAATGACAGCCTGAAAAACTACTTTGGTATTTCACAGGTCTTCCATTTCACCATACAAATCCACCTTCAGTAAGAACACTTCCCTTTATGAAAAACCCTAGTCAAATTAGGTGATCAACTTTGATATTAAAACCTAAACATTATCATAAAACATGAATTTGGTCATTATTCTACCTGCAATATAGATTTTATTTGGCGGGGGTGGGAGAGTGGGTGGGCATGAGCACACACATTAAGTATCTCACTCGGGTAACCAGGTCAGTAGCAATGCTTAGAAACACATCTCACTTTTGTCCCTTGTAAGAAGAGCTAACAGTTGAAGTATCTACTGCTTTAAAATTTTAAATACAGGACTTCCGATCAAGATGGCAGAATAGATGGTCCCCAGTGTCACCCTCTCCCACAATCAACCAATTTACAACTATTAAAAAGCAACAACTGCCAAGCTGGGGCTGCTAGAGCTCAGGGGAAGAGGAGGAAAGACCTATGGAGTGCATGAAGGCAGGAGAAGCCACAATGTAAGAAAGAAAGGTCCACCCTGGCCACTTCAAGGCTGGTCCTGGTGAGCACATGGAGCAGGAGCTGGCAAAAGCCACGGCTGTGCCCTTCATATGAAGTTGCTTGGAGACTGCAGGAGAGAAGAGGGCCTTAGTGGCCCCCAGGCCAGCAAGACCACTAGCAGTGTTCCTGAGGACCCACGTACAATGGAAAAAAGGAGCCACTCAAGGGCTGCACAGGCCCACTCAGTGGACGCTGGTCAGGAATATAGATGTGCAGGGGGTGCAGTTTGCTGAAAAGACTCAGGCCCAGACCAAAGTTTCCACACAACCCAGATGTACCAGACCTCCCAAGACCTGGAAGTGATTATGAGGTTAACAAGTAAAACGTGAGCTGAACAAAAAGCCTTCCCCAGAGAATCAGCAGCAAAGCAGCAATTTAGCTCAACCACAGGGCTCAAGTGCTGGTTCCCACAGGAAGTTCTCCTATATTAGAATTAAGCAAAGGACAACAAATTAGTTCCAGTGCAGACTTTAAGTGGTGGGAATTGCGAATAATCCTATATAGACTGAAAGAAAAAACAAAAACCCCACAAATCAGAGACAAAGTTCTGATATTAACCAGTAAAGGTCTCACACCACCAAAGAACACATATAAATCGTAGAAGGACCAGAAGCCTCCCGGGCTCCCAAGCTGAGGTGGAGAGGCGGTGGTCGAGGGCCTCAGCCACGCCCCTCTAATGTCTGCATCCAGCCCAACAACCACCAGGCCACTGCCACAAGTGCCCTGGGCTCCTGAGCGGGGGCCAAGGTCCTCAGCCACACACCCTGACATCAGCATCCACCCAGTGACAACCACCAAGCCACCATCAGAAGCACCCCAGGCTCCCAAGCTAAGGTGGTGGGAGGCCAAAGGCCTCAGCCACGCCCCTCAGATGTCCAAATCTAGCCCAGCGACAATCAACAAGCTGCCGCCAGAAGTGCCCCAGGCTCCCCAGCCAGGGTGGAAGGGGGCCAAGGCCTTCAGGCACACCCTGTCCACGTCCACATCCAGCCCAGCAATGACAACCAGGCTGCCGCCAGAAGTGCCCCGGCTCCCAAGTGGGTGCAGTAGGGGGCCAAAGTCCTCAGCCACAACCCTTAATGTCCACATCAAGCCCAGCAACAACAACCTAGCCATCACTCTAAGTGCCCCAGGCTCCCCAGCTGGGGTAGAAGGGAGCCAAGGGCCTCAACCACACCCCCTTGATGTCTGCATCCACCCCAGCAACAACCATCAAGCTACCGCTGAAAGCACCCCAGGCTCCCGGGGTGGGGGGGTGCAAAGGGCCTCAGCCACACACCTCCAAAGTCCGCATCCAGCCCAGCCACAGCCGAGCCACCACTGGAAGCCCCCTGGGCTCCCCTACCAGAATGAGGGGGGTGCCATGGACTTCAACCATGCCCCCCCCACTGTTCCTTCTCCCACCCTATGCCCTTCTCCCACCCTATGCCCTTCTCCCTTTTCCTCTCCCCCTCCCCTCCAACTGCTCCACAACATCTTAGAATGTAAAAAAAACAACAGGTATATTTAAAATTTTTTTTAAATACAGGAAATCAATCATTTTACCCTATAACAAATTGCTGTATGAGCTCATTTTTGGCTGGGAGGCCAAGAAAAGAATAGCACTTGAGAGCAGGAATAAAGCAATGAGGGTCTGGTGTCCACAGGAAAAAGGCTGGCCTCTAAGGTGCAATGGCTAAAAATCCTATCCTCTCTGAGACTTGCCCCTTATAATACTCACTTTGACAAATGAATATCAAAAAGGAGCAGGATAGAGCTTCTGCTCACTTTTTAAATATCCTGCCCATCCCACCCCCTTTAAAGATCATCTCTCCCTTTCCTGGATTCTTCTCTCTTACTTCTTTATCAACAGATGCCACAAAAAAATATAAATGTTACCAACATCCTAATTTCAAGTACAACATCAAGAAATTTCATATCCCTCTTAATTCCATCTTTTCTTTTTTCTTTCTTTCTTTTTTTTTTTTTTTTTTAAGGAGATTCATGTCTTCCTTTGCTTCTAACCACTGCTCCAGTTCTGTACAGGCTGAAATATATTTGAAGCCAATAAACACAGGATATTAATAAAATGCACTCTTTCTTTAGACCCAATTTCAGGGCTAGGAAAAGACCAAGAACAAGGAGTGTAATTAAAAGTAAGATAAGATAATTTATATCCTTTCAACAGAATTTACACCACTTAAATGAATATTTTCCTTTAAAGTAGGTACACAGAGGCTATAGGCTTGCTCTGGTAAAGCTAGCATTGCTCAAAATATTTTTGGAAGCCTCCTTTAGAGCTGACTCAGACTCTGCTCTAATAAGTGCAAGTGTGTGCATACACACTCACACTGACACACACACGCCTCTCAATTGTTTATAGCCTCACTTGGCCTTGAATCCAAAACTGTATTATCTAGCTTGAAAACTGAACTTTCTCACTTGGCTGGAGCCAAATAACTTTTGAAGTGGGTGGCAAAGACCATCTTCTTCCTCCAAATTTGTTTTCCTGTCCTCCACAGAAATGCAACTCCAGTTTTTAGTTATTTATAATGGCTACCCATAAGACTATTTTCTCGCTTGCCCTGTGCAGGTCTGACAAATGGGATGTGAGCACAAGTGTCACATGGAAGTTTCTGGGAGCCTGCCTCAAAAAGCTGGGAGTGCACCATTAGCCCTTCCTGCATCCACTACCTGGAGTGTGGAGGTGATGGCTGGTACTAAAGTCGTCTCTTGCACCACACAGATGAGGGTCAAATCCTAGGGATGGCAGAGCAGAAAGGTGGAATGAGCTTGGGTCGCTGAGGGCTGAGTGGTATAGAGCCAGTATACCAGGCCTGGACTGCCCACCTTTGTTTGGAGTTTTACATGACAGAAAACAGAGTTCTACCTTGTTAAAGCTACTATTACCTAGGGTCTCTGTTACAGACAAACCTAATTCCAGCTTTTACATATAATACTTAAAAAATAAGACCTACTCTCTCCATAAGCAAAGATTTCATATACTGAGGCTACTCAAAAGAACATGCCATTAAAAAAAAAAAAAAGAAAAAGGAAACAAAATGTGCCATGGACTTCAGAGACTTTTCTAAAACAAGCACGCCAAAGGATCTCCATCACTGTTTGAGTAAGCCTAGAGCCTCCCAGGGTGACTACTTACAAGAGGACAGTATTCAGTTAGATGATAAAGTTTAGGTATCTTCTGAATCTATCCCATTACTTTACTGTCAAATAAACATGTCAACTTTTCCATGAGATAAGGAGTTAAGCATAGTTGTATTGTATCACACCATACACAAGAATATACACACACCTTTAACAAGAATTCAAACACACGCATACACAGACACAGATCAGAAGGCAGCTAGAAAATGCCTGTTCATGATAAACAAGAAAAGCAAAGTTTGAAACAAAAGCATGCCTTGAGACTTACGTGGTTATCTTTATAGTAATAAGAAAGGGCAGGAAATCGCCGTCTACTCCGGAATTTCGAACTCCCCACTATGATGTGTGCTGTGGCTGATTTGGGAACATACAGTTCAGTAGGATAAGAGTCACAAACCTGTCACCGGAAAATACAAAGAAATTTTTAGGCCATCTTGCTTTGCCAACTGCCACCAGAAATTCCATTTCACTGTACTTATTGGCTGCATGTTTAAGTTTTCTTAACCAAGCTACAGGGGAGGCTATTTCAAGGAAATTACAATTACAAGCCACTTTAAAAGAGTGAAGTGCTGCTGATTCTAAGTAATCATCCTGAAGGAAAGCAAGATGTCCATTAGTGTCCTGTCACACTGTCCCTTCTCTCCAAGAGCTCTCTGTATGAGGCATGGCAGTGACAACTGAGCATTCCTTTCATTAAAAAGGGACAAACTGTAATTCTCCAGTCTGCTAGCTGAGAAAACTTGAACTGCCTGTATTTGATTGAAAGACAGCCTGACACTGGGAGACAGTTCCCATAAAATGTAAGTCCAGTAGTCAAGTTGTCAGGTTATTTTTGTGTCCCTGGCAAACACTGTGAATTCCTGCCTCTGATGCCCTCCCCGGATACTCCTGTCCTTTCTTGCCAAATCTCATCCATACTTCAAGGGCCAATCCAAGTTCCACCTCCTTCAAGAAGCCTCCTCCCTGACCTTCCAGCTCACGCAGATTTCTAGTTCTGATTTCCCAACGTGCCACACACGACCACACAACATAACAGCTTTATTATTTTTGTTTCTCAGGTGTTGATTTTATAAGTGGTAAGAAAGGATTTACTCTTTCTGTGCATCCCTGAAGCAATGACCACAGTAGAAACGCTGGGTGCCTTATCAGGATCTTGCCATTGAGAATCAGAAATCAGCAGCTTAGACCCTGGCCCTGATTTAGCAACTTTATGACCCTTGGGGAAGCCAAATTACACTGAATGCTTTGGTTTTCTAATCTCTAAAACTAATACTACAGCAATAATATCTCACAGGGTTGAAAGAAGGATCGAATCAAATAACACCCATAATAAAGCACTTGATAAATCATTAGATCCAAAAGAAATGTTAGCGGAAGCAACGGTTATAGTAGTTGATGTTGTTGCTCAACACACCTTTTGCTTTCATACCACTCAATCAATCTTGTTGCGATACAAAGATCGTTCAGATGGAGTTTCCTGGGCTTCATCAAGCAACCGTTTATTTCCTGGAAGTCAAGCGTCTTCCTAAGCATGAAACCAACTAAAATTAGCTGAAACTGCTTTTATTTCCCTATCTCAAGTAATTCTACAGTTGTTTTGCAGGACATAAGCTAAGCATACACCAAGAGAAAGACCTTGCCCTCCAGGTGACCTCCAGAACCAAGGAAACAAAATCCTCTGCCAAAGGACTGAATTCAAGCCCAGCCAATCAGCTCTCAACTCAAAGCCAGCCCATCAGTTTTGCTTCATTATCATATGTGGCCTGAATGCAACTATCCAATCCACTTTCACCTATTCATATGGCCTAAGTCAGAGTAAGCCAATCAGGGTTGTCAAATACCCCTTAAATCCTTCACAGCCCCTGAACTGGGGAGACAGATTTGAGGTGCCCTGCCTCCTGTCTCCATGCCAGTCAAAATCACAAAATAAAGCCTTTGCTTTTCTCAGTAACTGATGCCATAATTGGCTTCTGCGTGCACTGGACAGCAAGCGTTTGCTCAGTAACAAGCATATCAAGAGAGTCTTCAAGTAGGTATAGCAATAGGGGGAATTCCTTATCTGCAGATCCTCGGTCCACCTCCATCCACCCTTACCACTCTGGAAGATGTGATTGAAGGGAATGAAAACCCACCACAAGTGAGATCCAAGTCTCTAAAGCTCTTAGAAATTGTTCTGTGATGACGGCCTACCTTGCCTGCCTCCACTGTCTTTGTTACCAGATTGGTGAACAACGTGGAGCAGGAGACAAAAGGGCCACAAAAAGGGATGTTCGCAGGCCCAAACTGTAATTTCAGAATTCCAGCAAAGACATTTTAAGAAATAAAATTACCAAAGAATTTGACATGGGCTCTGGCACTGCCACTCTGGAGGAAAATCCCATACCAAGAACAGATGACCCAACCTACTTGGACCCAGAGAGCTTTTACTGGGATGACTGCCACAGGACACCACATTTCCTTCTCCATGCCAATCTGAATCTCCCCAAAGTTGGCTGGCTAGAACATTACTACACAGACCACACCTGCTTGTCTGAGTTCAAGAGACATGTAGTCATTGCACTAGACTAACATTTTCTTAAAATAACACTTTTAGAAAGGAAAAAGTAGGTTTTCGGTAAGTTGGAGATTACCTACTTTCTTCCTAGTAGCAACATTAAGGAATAGCAAAGTTTTATAATGAAATAAAATAAGAATAGGTGAGATTTCTCAACATGCTTATTACATATAGCTTCTCTGAATAGCAAGAGATGAGCTAGGAACGATGAGCTCCTGTCAGACCCTCTCATACTCTCCCAAGGCCAAAAAAATGCCCAGGTTGGCTAAGGTCATGGCCCTGTGTACACCACAGATGGAATGTGACCAAGAGAGAATATACACATTCACGAGCCACTCTTCTTGACACTCTCAGCTCCAACTCGAGGGCCTTATTGTTTTCTATCCACACACAGCCCTCTTTATTCATAAGGGGAACAGAGATGACAGCCTCCTGCCTCTAAGAGTACCAGAGCTCTCCTCCTTCAGAGGAGAGGTCAACAACCTGAGCCTAGTCAACAGTGGTCAGGCCTGTACCTGGTGTCATGGCCTCCCCTCTAGGAACATAACACCAGTTTAAAGGATTCCTGCTTTCTCAAGAACCTTGGTTCTAGGGGGAAAACTCCACGGGTCAGAGCTTAAGTATTGGACATTCTGGTGAGTTCTTGCATGGGGAGTTCTAAGGAGCTAAAACACCTTTGGAAAAAATCAGACACATGTTACCAGTTAACTTAGGTTTCATGATACAACCCCTTACTGAGCTAGAAAAATGTAAATTTGTCCTTCTTTCATCAAAGTAGACTGCACTCTCAAGTGGAAATTAAAATAACAATCTTATGATTAAAACTACAAAATGCTACTGAAAGAAATTAAAGCAGACACAAATAAATGGAAAGACATCCTGTATTCCTAGATTAAAGACTTAATCTTAAGATATCTATACTACCCAAAGCAACCTATAGATTCAACACAATTCCTACCAAAATCCCAATGGCATTTTTTGCATAAATAAAAAAATTAATCTTAGGGCCGGCCCAGTGGTGCACTGGAGAGTGTGCCACTTGGGAGCGCGGTGGCGCTCCCGCCGAGGGTTCGGATCCCATGTTGTGACCAGTTCCCGCTCACTGGCTGAGCGCGGTGCGGGCGTGACACCGAGGGTTGCGATCCCGTTACCGGTCAGTAAAAAAAGACAAAAAGGAAAAAAAAAATTAATCTTAGGGCCGGCCCAGTGGTGCACTGGAGAGTGTGCCACTTGGGAGCGCGGTGGCGCTCCCGCCGAGGGTTCGGATCCCATGTTGTGACCAGTTCCCGCTCACTGGCTGAGCGCGGTGCGGGCGTGACACCGAGGGTTGCAATCCCATTGCCGGTCCCCGGTATGCACGCGACACCGAGGGTTGCGATCCCGTTACCGGTCAGTAAAAAAAGACAAAAAGGAAAAAAAAAATTAATCTTAAAACTCATATAGATACTCAAGAAGCCCCCAAATAGCCAAAACAATTCTGAAACAGAACAAAGTTGGAGGACCCACACTTCATAATTTCAAAATATATTACAAAGCCATATACAAGGGTACTTCAAAAAGTTTACAGAAATATAATAGTAAAGATAATATGAATCATCCCAAGAACTTTTTGAAGTACCCTCGTATATTTTACAGCAATCAAACAGTGTAGTACTAGCATAAAGACAGACAGATATACCAGTGGAATAGAGAACCCAGAAATAAACACTCGTGTATATCCTCAACAAGGATGCCAAGAACACTCAGTGGGTAAAGGACAGTCTTTTCAACAAATGGTGCTGGGAAAACTGGATATCCACATGCAGAAAAGTGAAGATGGACCCTTATGTTATATCATATACAAAAATTAACTCCAAGTGGATTAAAGACATAAACATAAGATTCAAAACTATAAAGGTTGTATATGACACCAGAGTTGGCACTGTTTTCTTGTACAGTCATGTGTTGCTTAACAACTGGGATACATTCTGAGCAATGCGTTGGTAGGAAATTTCATCATTGTGCAAACATCATAGAGTGTACTTACACAAACCTAGATGGTATAGCCTACTACACACCTAGGCTATATGGTATAGCCTATTGTTCCCACCAGTGTCGTATGTGGTCTATCATTGACAGAAACATTGTTATGCAATGAATGACTATATATGATATACCAAAGGCACAGGGAACAGAAGAAAAACTACATAAATGGCTTATATCAAACTTATAAATTTTTGTGCATGAAAGGACACAATCAAAAAAGTGAAAAGGCAACACACAGAATGGGAGAAAATATTTGAAAATCACATATCGTATAAGGGGTTATTACACAGACTATAAGAGTATAAAGAACTCCAACAACTTGACAAAGAAAAATCAAATAACATGATCAAAAATGGACAAAGGACTTGAAGAAGATATACAAATGGCTGATACGCACATGAAAAAATGCTCAATATCACTAATCATCAGGGAAATGAAAATCGAAACCACAATAAGATATCATCTCACACTTGTTATGATGAACGCTATTAACAACAAACAGAAAATAACAAGCATTGGCAAGGATGCAGAGGAACTGGAACTCTTGTACACTGTTGGTGGGACTGCAAAATAGCACAACCATTATGAAAAACAGTATAGAGGTTCTTCAAAACTTTTTAAATAGAATTACCATAGGATCCAGTAATCCCACTTCTGGGTATACACTAAAAGACTTGAAAGCAAAATCTTGAAGAGATATTTGCACAACCATGTTCATAGCAGCATTATTCACAATAGCCAAGAGGTGAAAAAACCCAAATGTCCATAAATAATGAATGGATAAACAAAACATGATACACCCACACACAGAATATTAT